GGGGGGGGGGGGGGGGGGGGGGGGGGGGGGGGGGGGGGGGGGGGGGGGGGGGGGGGGGGGGGGGGGGGGGGGAGCGTTGTGTGTTGTGTAGTCGAGGATATGTACTGGTGTTGCTGCTGCTGGTGACCGTATGCCAGTAGCAGGAGAGCGTGGGCAGCAGCGGCGACGGGTCGTCGTTGTATGTCAACTTGCATTGCAACCACGGCCTTTAGCAACGAGGGAGCCATCAGCAGAAGCCAGAAGCAAACCTATACCTCGTTCCAGGCGACGACGACAACCCGTGGTGGCGACGCCTGGTGCTGATGAAGCCGGAGGTCTGATCGACGGTGGCCAGCAGCACCGCCGCCGCCATGGCCGCTCGTAGTGTCATGAGCATCCTTGAACACGTGTCCAACGCCGCTCCTCCTCTCGTCTTTCGCTGAAGCGATGCTGCGACGGATCAAGCTTTCCTCCCCTTCGTCTGTCGTCTGGGCAGTTACACGCTTCCCAGCAACAACACAACACAACCTCTTGTGTGGTGTGGTTACAGACGCGGTGATGCGGCACAGAGCCAGCACACTTGACTAGCACACGGCACAGCAGGCTTGTTTGAGGGCAACAGCAGGGAGGGAAATTGCACCGCATGCACCCCCACGGGGCCCCGTCGCTCAGCATTGGGAAGTGGGTGGAACAAAGCGTATGATCGAAAAAACAGTTGTAGACTACTGGTGAACGAACGATGACATGATGACACCCTGCACACGTATATGATGCATAACAATGGCTCCACACCCTAAGCAATACGTGAAGGAATGTACGTATTTTCGGTGTTGCCATCAAGCGTCTCCCGCGGCGTTCGCAGGTGATGAATTGCATCCGCGGGTAACACTTGTCGGGTGCTTCTGTGTAGTTTGCCAAAGTACTGTTGTTCATGTCGCTTGTCACGTTGCCAACACTACCACTACACTGCCGACGCTTTGAGGTACATGGCGGTACCACAGTGGTAACACCCGGCACGAGTGTGACTAGACTCAGTGAAGAACATCTAAAGCGAGACAACAGCAACACCACAAAACACCATCGATCCGTACTACTGCTGTATCCGCCGTGTATCCGTGTATCCGCCCTTCACCTATTTAGTGATATAAGTTCATCTTTCTTAATGGATCGAGGAAGATCATCGGTGGATACGTCGAGGGACGAAAGCAGCAAATCCAAGGTATGTCGAACGTCTGCAATATGCGAACTTGACAGCGTTCATATCGTTTTCCGAGAGGCTTAGTCCGTGTTTTTCTCCCCTCACAAGATTCGCGCCTGGACGACGTCATTGATGTACATGCTCTCATGAACACAACGGATACGTGGGAAACCTGTGGAACATCACAAACAAACCTGCCCACCATCTCATGTGGTATCATTCAATAAGAAAAACCTACATTCACATCCATATCAAGAAGTTCCGACCGGCCAAAACATTGCCCTGGTCGGTAAATGTGTCTGTCATCAAATATTCTCACGGCTCTTTCCAATCGCGTTTGTTCAATCCCTGAAAAGCCTACAGTAGAAGCGTCAAGATGCGAAAACAACCCGTTTCGGTCGCCGTGTGAAAAAATACTTCAAACGACAACAGCTCCGAACAGCGTGTCTAGACCACAAAGACTGAACATCACGCTCGCAACAAGCGCTCCACGAGCTCCGCCTTCTTGCCCGAAACTTTCAGGCCACGACTTCGAAGCTCTTCTTTCAGGGAGACCACTTTCATGGACGACCACCGCTGACGGTGCTGCTCGTTCTCAGATGCAGGTTCATCTACGTCGGGGACGTCTTCTCTTACGCCGTCTTCCTTCAGACAGTCCTCTATTGCATCGGTCGCGGTTGATCTGGATGTCTCCGGGGGTAGTGCTTCTCTTGCCCCTCGCTCTCCCGTATGTCTGACTCCTGGTGGCGGCGAAGCTGCCCCCCCCGTGGTTGTTGATATTGAGTCAGGGTCCCTGGGCAATACTCTTGGTGCTGCCGGTACTGGCGCTGGGGGTGTCGCTGCTGCGGCTGCTGCTGAACCCACATCGTCAACTTTACGCACCTCGACAGGTGGTCGTCGCTCCCCGGCAAGCGCTCGTGGCTGCTGCTGCTGCTGCTGCTGCCGTTCCTGCTGCCTCTCGCTCTCATCATGACCGCTTACAAATGCCTGCTGCCTAACAGGGTCCTCAAGTATCCCGTCGTCACTAAGAACCTCGGCGAATCGGGCCTCATCTAACCGATCCTTCACTCTCGCGGCATCTTCAGCTAGCACTCTGGCGTACGGCGAATCTCTTGAGAGACCACCGGTGGTCTGAGCATCGGCGAACAGTGCCTCGGCTACCAACGCGTCGGCTGCGGTGGCGTCGGCCCTGGCTCGCGCGGCCGCCCGCTTTGCTGCCACCGCTGCCTCTTCGACCGTCCCCTGTCGTCAATAGAACAGTATGAGCGCGCAACGAACAGGAGGGGGGGAATGTTTGCGAAAACTTGTTGGATGCCGCGTCGCGGTGGTAACTCCAACAACCGGGGACCGTGCGATCAAAATGCAAGTTTGGCGCAACGTCCCGGCTTACCGCTATCGCTGGCTCCTCAACGATTCTCCCGAAGCAAAAATGGGCCAACCAACACATGCGAGGGAGTAACGCGCACATGTTACATGTGTAGGGCGTTGCCGCGATGTTGAGCCTGGTATTCAGGTGAGACTTTACTGCTGTGAAAAGGAAGGATAAAGAAAATGCTTTGGCTGCATCCAAATGACCGCTTTGGCTGCATTGGATTCAACGTCTTGTCTCCATCGCGTAAGGCAGCGCATTTTATGTAAAACAACGGTCAACAGCTGCAGGTGTTCCCCAGGACTTGGTACACTACTTGGAAACTGCTTGTTGTGGGACGAGACATACATGGATCGCTCAGAACGGCTGTCGAACTCCTACCTTACTCGCGTGTGATCCCGGCTGGTGCGTCAAACATACACCGACAGGTGTAGACTGGCGCCCACAAATATGATGGCACGAAACACACACACACTCGTGAAGTATGTACGGCGTGGATTTGAATTGCATCCTTGCATGCTTGCATGCTTGGACCTCCAGACCCTTGGAACTGGACGGGGTTCACGTGCGTCAAAGGGGGACAGTCACTTCATCACCAGATATTATGTGGCGGTGCTTACCGCGTACCAGATAAATAGCGTGCTACGGTCCGATTACACCTCTGGAAAAGCGGTGACTGCCTGATTGTTTTGGCCAGCAAAGGACGTAGGGTTGAGGGTATGTATTCACGGAGGAATACTGTTGGGCGCCCAAGATCTGAGGTACTCTCAGTCAAACGGAGGGAAGACAGGAATAGCGAGTACGGCCCGCGTGTACCTGAGTGGAGTGGGAGGAGCGCGAATTCTGCTTCCTGACTCGCATAGACTGGAGCAGCCCCCCGACCTGATCACAACCGTCGTCAAGAGCGGACCAAGAGCACACACCAGTGTCAGATATTTAGACCAGCAGATATTCGACCAAGCCAATCATGGAGATGAGCAGAATCAAAACCAACCGAGACCCCCTTTGTTTCAGCGGAAAGACAAACACGTGCGTGCCAGAGACGAGATCTTGTCTGTTGTGCATTTTTCTGGTGCTCATGCGTTTGTTTTCAAAATCAAAGTGATGCCTCAGGGCTCTGACAATTAACGACATATACCGGATTTTTCACAATTTCGCAACAACACATAGCACCACGACGGCGTAGTGGATGAAAAGGAACTTGTCAAGTCTTGCGCCGCTCGCAGTCTGTGAAGGCCGACCGCCACCGCCACCACCGTCACCACCATGGCAACTCCAACACTAACGCAAGCGAGCACCCGCACCTTTTTAAGCGTGTCATCTTCCGCACCACCAGTACGTGCACCACCACCAGAGCCAACCACAGCAACATCCCTCGCACTGCCGTCGTTGCTTTCCCCCGGAGGACTATCCGCATTAATATTCGGGTGTGATTTTGGCGGGGTGGGCATGAGCTTGTCGAGCCCCATTCTCAATCCCCGCTGGACGTCGATGCACAGCCACTCATCGTCGGGCCCCGCGGGCACGTGCCAACACCCCTGGGTGACAACGAAAGGCGGCGATGATATTGGGGGTGGGTCCACCATGCCGCCCGAAGAAATGGCCGAAACTGGCACACCCTTACGCCGGCGTGTTTGGTGTTTCGTGAAATGCGGTTTGCTCTATCATCGCGTACATCTGCGTATGACATAACAAAAGTGGATTACGAGGAAAATATTTTACGGCTGCATCTGCAGCATGGGTTGCCTGTAATGCTCATTTTCTTGACGGCCTTATCCATGCTCGTCGCTCGGCAACGAGCCAATGACGCTGAGACCCGCTACAAGCCACAACAAGTGGCCAACGACCAAATAACCAAGAACAGGACGGCAAATCTGCTATCGCCACGCCCGGCGTTAGAATTCGATCCTGTTGATGTCAACGTCTTTCGGATAAGCGTGCCATGTAATGGGGTTTCGATCGTGCTTGTGATAACGCGTCACCGACAACTTGTGAGAAGCACCGACCTTTTGGCAAACCGTTTTTCTCCCCGTAACATTTGCAACCGGTTTCCGCTTCTTTTCTCTTTCGGGTGCGTCTTGGTCAACTATCTCGAGACGCGGCCACTACATGACTGCGCGCGTGCGTCTCGCGTATTACGAAAGGGAAGCCAGTATCTGTGACTGCGGGACCGAGCCGGAGAAACACAACTTCGGCGCGCGCGTATCAACATCATACAAATACAGTACCATCAACCACGGCACAAAACAGTGAAGCCATCAACGGAGACAGCAGCAACCAATACCATCACCACCAGGTAGATATGAAGGCGGAGCTTTCTGACGTTTCACCTGCTCACTCTTCTGGACGTCCCGCGTGAAGGCAGGGGGCGGCTGGATGGCCACCTGTGGGGGGTTCGCTGGCCAGCCTTGCGGATTTGAGCCCTGGTGGGTCCGACAGTAAAGCCGAAAATCAAAGGTAGGGCTTAGTGAGTGCTTCAAAACGTATCAATACATTGGCTCCGATAGCCCAACGTCTGGAAAGCCCACGTGGTCTATATATAGGACGATGGTGAAAACCTGCATCAATGATAGGGGTCTGCACTTGCATGACATATATTTTCAAGCTTCACTATAGCCGTTCAACATATTCAACGGTCAGAGGTATGCAGAATAGACTTGCGATGAACAACGCCAATGCTCCTGCCGGCGGCCCTGCACAGCGTTACGCGTGCGTCAACAAAACACCGGCATTTCATTTCGCGGGATAAGCAAATCTCGCAAGCACTAATCTCACAACACAAGCTAAGAGGCACCGCGACAAACAACCCATCGAACCAGCACGCACGACAAATTGGTCACCTTTCCCATGATATCCTTTAGAGCGTATGTAAGCTCGAACTGGGCGAGCTGCGTGGTCCTCCATCGCAGGTAGGGCACCGCCTCGGCCAAAGACATGCGGTGATCTCTGAAAACCACCAAAACGAAGCACCGAGAAATCGCGCGAGAGCAATCACCAACAAAAAAGGGACGACGTTAGGAGGCAGCCCACCTGCATCGCAGCGCTCGCCGTGCGTTGATATCGGGCACGAACAAACGCGGTCGTGTCAGAAAACTACGTGCGCCGTCGGAGAGACTCAATTCGACATGTGCTGGCGGTGACGAAACAGCGGTTGCAGGCATGCATCAAATGATAGTACGCCGACGTGCGAAGGGATGTAGGGATACTTCGTGCGGATAAGGCCCTGCCATTGCCTCAAATTCCTGTCGCTTTCGCTGGGACTCAAGATGAAATGGTTTCCCTGTCGGCTGTTTGCGCCGTCGTGGATGTACCCAGCCAGGCGGCCAGTCACTTAAGACCAGGCGCAAACTGAGAAAGGCTTGCGACATCTGCTGCGCGCCGCTCCGTTGAGTCATGAAATTGTTGCGCGGTGTTGCGCGGTGTGCGTACTACACAGATTTCACGACCTGGACTGTACTTTTTCGCACCTTGTCCTGTCGTTGGAGATGACCGTCATGGGAATATCGTCGAACGCAACGGTCGCGTACATCCAGTACCAGTCGTCCGACGCCTCATCAGAGCACTCGTAAAGCTGGCACGATCAACAGGGAGAAACAAAAAATGTGGAAAAAAAAACTTGTCGAAAATGGCATCATCTTGAAATTTCAGCATCAATTAATGTTTCTAGTGGAGACGAAGCCATCTCCTTCGGCAGAAAGCCGGAAAGCTGTAACACTGAAAGCAAAAGGTTCTATGCATTCTTTCGAAGAAATATTGCTTCGGGGCGAACGCCGAAAGTACGAATCGAGTCCATGAGCAATGACGTCCGCTTGGTTCGAGAATCAAAAACAAACAAGAACGAATAGTAATCCCGATACGCAACAACGGTAAAACACCTACATGTGCATATGCGCTTTTGTCATCGCTTCAGCCGCAAGATCGGCCACGGCTCGAAAACAGATGAGCAGCTGCTTCGACAATATTGAATGGCGATTGTCCTGACTGTCACGGGCTAATGACTGGGGTTTAGATTCGCAAGCATGCCTCTTCTGGGCCAGAAGGAAAACCAGTTCGGGCGTCATTTAGGCACCTTGCTGCAGCAAAAAAAGTACAATAGGGTCAACAATCGCTTTGCGACCCTTTCGACAGATAGACTGCGGCGAAAAACATTTGCACATCGGTTAGGCAACCAGAGCGTGACTGGAATATTCCTGTAGCAAACCGAACCCGTGGGATAATACTCGTGCGAGAAGTCGGTACGGGTCATGCTATTCCCTCGACGATCATTTCGCCAGCTCAGATATCTGTGATGGGCGGCGAAACAAACACGAAGTCTGCCGTCCACCCTACCCCTTTGGCGAAATAGGGATCAACGCGGGGCCGTGAGCGGGGGGGTGGCACATTCCGCATTCGAAGAGATCAATAACGAGCGCTCAATTACTACCCCGTCGTCGACACATGATAGCCCCACGTACAACTCGCAAATTGCCACCGGACGGTACACGCCCATATCCGTACGCCTCACCTGAGACTTGGCACGCCATCGCTTGACAATAGCCTTGTTCAGAGGGTTGGACATGTACCTGAACCCGCCCCGTGCGGGACTGAGGATAACCAACCCACCGCGCGCACAAGACGCCAGAGCACCAGAAATTGTGAGAAACACGAAGCGATAGCAGCAGGAAAGGTGTCAATACATTCGTGGCACGCGGCGGCAACAAACAATCCAAAAACGGTAACCCAGAGGGCGTACGACATGACAAGAAAGAGTGCCGCTGGCGTGCCGCTCCGCAAGAAAAAAATGCAAGGAGAGAAACCATGCCCCCTCTCACTCACGTGTTCTCATGAGATTCTTTGACGCAAGTCTACACATGATCAGAGCTGTCCTCGGTGCATACAAACACACGCCATATTGTACTCTTGCCGCATCCGGTGAGTTTGACTGCCATCGCTCTGAGGACGCTCTGGGACAAAATTCAACAGCTTCGACTCACACTTCCTTCTGTGTACCGTAAAAGTGCGTGTTGTGGCACCGAGGCGCGATGGTTCACATCCCTGCCTTGATTTTTTCGTACCTCGGTGCCATAACACCGATGGGTGCCATATCGTCGGTGCGGAAATGTAACTGCATTATTCGATTCAGACTTCCAACGCACCGCCGGTGCGATGAAATCGATGTGCGCAATACAGAAGAAATCACAGCGTGATTGTGCGGTGCTTTTGAGCCGTTTCTACGCGCACACCTCCACAGAACGAAATGCACGCATGAAAGGAATGGCGCCCCAATCGATAACCTACCGGCATCACAGCCGTGCCTTACAGACAGCGCAACATGGCCCGGAGGGTACCGGTACCTTGCGGAAGCACGCAAAAATTCCATCCTAAGCAGGTTAAATATCGTTGATATCGCACTGGACGCGTTAACACCGATACCGGTGCGAAAATCTACTTGAATCATACCGTTCTAGTATATATTGCACACCCCGGTGCCATCAAACTAAATCATGCTGTTAGTTTTCATTGCACACCAGTAACGATGAGTGCGAAATCAACGATGGGTGCCATGACAAGCACGATAACGGTAAGCACGAAGGGCTGGGAAACAAGTATTCCGAAAAAAAAAGAAGTCACCTCCAAACGTGAATTTCACTCTCTCTGTTATCGCTGACGAAGTTCCCCTTCAAACCAGTGCCACCCGCACATCAACGCTAACTCCCTCTCCATTTCGCACGCACGTTGTCAAGTGAAGACAAGTCTGTGATATGATCTCCATCAGTTTTCAGTCCTTGTCGGTGAGATGCCTGACGTGGGTAGTTCAGTCAGCGTTCAAGTTGTCACATATTTCCTGCCGAATTGACCAATTCATTCGCGACCCTCTAAACGGCACAAAATTAACCACAACATAAACACGGAGGAGAATGAACCCTGTAACCCCAGCAACAAGAACAATCAGTTCAGTCTTGTGCTGGTCCATTCGTGAATTTCATACATGTCACAGAACCCAGTTTTGAGGCCAACACTTACGAGTTATCGTAGAGGTCCCCGACGCGGTCGATGTATTTCTCCGCGATCAGAACTAGCGGTCGCTCCCCCTTGGCCTCTAGCGCTTGTACCATCAGGTCCACCTGGGGCAAGCTTTGCGAACGCGCAGAACATTGGAAGAGATGGTAGGAGAAAACCCTTTGACCACACGCCAACAGCAACGTGAGCTACGCGTACGAAACGCATGAGATGTACAGGTCCACGATCTTCTTGAACACCCGCCAATGTCATAAACCCAACGAGGCAGTGAACGGCACTCCACCCGACCCACAAAGCGCGCGCATACTTGTAAATCAAGCCTGGCACTGCTGTCCACACAACAAAACTGAAACGGGTCTACGGAGTGAATGTAACAACATGAGCTCGTGTGGAGAAGCACTTGAGTCCGAGGAAGACTGCCCTCTATGCTCGAACTATTCACAACTTGCGGTGTCTACCGGCACTGCTCCGTGCAGCTGGCGACAAGACAGGGCACACAAAACGACTGTTGGAGACACTCACTTGCTACAAAACTAAATGCTAGGTAGGCCTAACAAAAACACAAAATCAAACCTACACCCGTCACTTATTAGCGTATGAAGCATTTCCCTCACGATTTCAATCGCAAAATGAGGTACTACCAACGGGAAAACCCTTGATTCCCGCGGCACTGTGTTCACCTGAAATGAAATGCGCTCCCCTTGTGGTAGGCAACATTAGCCGAGTCGATCACGGCCGTGTAGGTCTTGCCGTCAGCCTGATGAAACATGCGTTTGGGCAACGGAAGCGATTCTCATCGACAACATAACATACACACAAAAAATCAGTGCGCTAGAGGTGACACACAATGCTATTCTAGTGGGTGAGCGGGAAAAGACCTGATCGCGGCATATACATGCGTGCAATAACTGCCAATGCGATCATGGTTGGGAGCAACATGGCCGTGAAATGATCCCATGACATGGAGGACGTGCCGATTCCGTCACAACCCTCTGTCGGCAAAAGCAACATCAAACTTCCCTCTTATCAGCATCTCACGGGGGCAAAACCACGCATCCCACACTGAGTTTCGTTCGGAAACATCGATTGTTTCGCAACTGTTCCGGGTTTATATACACATACGTTTGCAAGCCGTTCACTCCAGCGAACGAGTGAAACTTTCACTCTAGGCAGAACGACAGAATGGACTTCCTGCCGACACCGAACTACGCACCATCGAGGGGTGGCTGTCTCTCATCCTCCTGCTGAGTACACCTCAGTCGGGCAAAATAGAATAACCGACCCGGATGGCTCGTGACACGTACTCCGAAAAAGCGGCAATTTGGTGCCCGAACTCCGCGGGGTCCTGAAGTTATGCGCCCGCCACCAGACAACCGGTCTGCATTTCAGCTTCCCCATGGCCCAACAAATTGGCGTTCGGGTACGGTTGAGCGCTACAGCAAACAGCGACACCACAGCACTCATTCGGCATCTTGTTGTCGACGTGTGGAGCACTGGATCGATGCATGGGTACTGGCCGATATGGGTGCCACGCCACTTCCTCGCCCTGTGTGAACACATAGACCTTGAAAATACGCTGTGTGACCGGTTTGATTCCCCTCACCCTTTGCGCGTGCAGCCAGTCGACGAAGATCTGCAGCTGTTCCTTTTGGTCCTCGTCCGTGAAGCTGTAAAAGGGGTTATCGTTGCCCTGGCGCTGCCGGCTCCTCGCAAGCAGCTTCGTGTGCCTGAAAAAAAGGTGAATTGGTCAGCGCACGCGAAAGAAGGGAAATCATTAGGAGGCTTTTCGTCAATCTCCGAACGCCACACAAAGGGCGTTGCAATGAATCGAACAAATCGCGAGGCGTTCACTGATTGTATTGATTAGCCGCGAACAACTTTCCTTCTGAACACTGAACAACACGATTCAGTTTTCAACAATCATTTTTTGCCGGTCGCCCTGGCTGCGGCTCGTATCGCTCCGTGCTACTGACCTGCCATTCAGAAACCTTCAACACATTCCCCTCTGTACTCGCGTTTACAACTACTGGGACCTCAGGCGAAGTGAAACGAAAACTTTGCTGTTCCGTGTTGCTCCGCGGGCGTAACGGTTCCGGCTTAAAGTGAATAACCTCCCTGGAGTGTAGATTACACGGGTATCAATCCAACCCGTGCACTGTCGTCGGAAGTGAATCCATCGTGAATGCTGAAGAGACCACTCCTAACGTTCCTTTCGCGTGCAAGTTCTTGACCATCTCATCACGAAAGCAGATGCGTCCATCGACAACAATAAGTACAATGCAAACCCGGACGCCATGTATTGCTCAGCATCACGACGGCATTGTTGGACCTAGTTTCAACCGCTGTTCCGAGAGTCGAGCTGCTGATTCGAACTAGCCTACGTGCTTCGCGGGTGAAATTCGTCTCTCTGCGAGATTGACGCCATCTTTTGTCAAGATGTACGAGTTTCACAACGTCATTCACTGCTATCGCACGGGATTCTTGCTCGCCTGCTTCTCGCGTGCTTCTTGACCTGCAGTCCTGCCAGACCGAACAGCGTTTCCCGGATCCTCGCCCTCTCGCCATCAGTCAGGCCGACGGCCCGGAGGGCCCCGCCGCAGGCGGGGCAGCTGTCGGGCCGTTCGGCGCGTGTCGGCTTTCTGCTGGACCACTCTCGCGTCCAGCTGTCGTCATCGATCTCGTGCCCGCCGGCGACCTGGGCGATACATACACCATTGCCGGCGAAGACGAGAGTTCATCTTGCTATTGCTGCTGCTGCAGCCACCGCCGCCACTGCTGCCGCTGCTGTTGTTATTGCTTTCCCACAGCATCGTTAGCTCTATCGCATGTCACGATAGTCGATGTAACCGATGTCGCTCACTTCGAGTCTTCGATTTTCCTTGCAGACCCACCAATCGGGACGCACGCTGTTACACGCGCAAGCTCCACTTCCCATCATCATCCACACGAGCAGCTCATCGTGGTATTCGACCCCACACAACTGGGAGCGGACGGAGGAATATTACAATTCAGATGTTTCGAGCGATTCGATTGGCTGACATACCTTGACTCTCCGCGCTAGCGGAACGGACGATATCTCCGTGATAGCGCAGGCATTCGTGTCCCCTACCGCACCGGCATCGCCGTTGATGGGGATTGAAGGCGCCGCCGCTAGTGGGACCGCGTTGAAGTGCTCTTCTAGCTGTTCCACCTGGCCCATCGTAAGGTTCCTGCGCCACATCATGCCGCACGCCAAGATGTGAAATGTAGGGTAATGTGCAATGCGGAAAAATCGAACCTCGCGCGGGGAGGGAAATCGTGAGAAATCAGGTTGTGAACGGGCACGAGTTGTTGGCCCGATGCCATTAGGCACAATTGTGTTTCCCAACATGGGGTTGGAAGCCGGGTGACACTGCTGTGGAAGCTAGCGCTCACCTCGGGCAGCGCTTGAAATCGTTTGCCCTACGATTAAACAGTGGGACCGAAAAGAAAACAGCCATGGAAACGACAAAGCCGAAGGAGACGCCATGCCCAACAAACACCGAAACACCACGAAAAGTATCCCAGCAGTGTTCTCGCCACCCTGAAAGAAACCAGGGAGTGTCCATGCTCAACACGCAACCGTTCAAGTGTTGATAAACAGGCTCAGGAAATCCACACCGCCGCAGGCACTCTCTGCCACCCACCTGGCGTGGTAGGACATGTCCAGCAGCTTCTCGTCCAGCTTTCCGGAGCGTGCATTGTCCCACAGCTCGCCGGCAACGCTGAGGCCGCAGAGGTAGTTGACGTATTGCTCCTCGCGTGGAATGACGCCCTGCTGCTCCATGTGCTCCCACACCTGGGGTTCATGAAAACGAACATAAAAATGTGAAAACAATACCACCCTCGCCCCGCAATCCACTGTGTTGCGTGTGGCTGGAAGACTTCCCGGCAAGCCGGAGCATACGCGGAGGTGTGCACGTCGTGCACACGATGCGAGGCGACGACATATGCTAGATACACGAGAGAGGGAGGGGGGGGGGATCGGCCGGCGTGTTGAAGAAACACTTCCTGATATCTATTGAGCGCTGATAAGAGAGGGTGGACCGAACGACCTCTCAAAGCGTACACCGGCCTAACAACAACAGACCTCTGAGGTCTTCGGACCTGATGGAAGGTGCGCGCGAAGCCGGTGAGTGGTGCTCCTACATGCGGAGCAAGGGCCTCAAGACTCAGAGGGTAAGTGCTGAAACAGCAAGCTCTAACCCCTGGTCACGTGTTAGCAAGGAACTGCGGTGCGGAGCTGGTGGACGGTGTTGCGAAGCCAGTGAATTTCGAGTGCGAAACGAGAGCCTGTGTTTCGGTTGAGCACCGCCGGAATTACCTCTCTGGCAGCGTCCATACCCCCCTCGCGGCACATCTCCGCGATTACCGGCTCGTAACACCTGTTGGAACACGCAGTAACAAAGACACACCAGATGCGCACCACCACGACTCGTCACCTTGAAACGTTTTCAACTCTACTTGGAGAGGGCCCGTGTTTCGAGTTGGTGGGCACACGCAGAAAGAACATCGCACGACTACTGCACGCCATGGACAGTTGGTATACGGAGTAGGACATCAAAATCTATCGTCACATCAACTTCCGACATGCCACTAGGGACAGAAGACTTACTTCCAACCTTCGAACGGGAAACGACAAACCGTGTCCCCATCCTGCTGAAACTATGACCAGGCCTGCATCACCTGTCCAACCGGGTCGTTATTGAACAAGAATAAAGCACCGAAAACGCAAGCACGCTACTGAGCGTAGATATTGGGCGCTGTGCCGTTCTTAGCGCCGCCGCACCTCAGCCTGGGCTGCACCCCCTGGTTCACCATGTCTTTGATGAGATCGAAAGCGTCGTGACAGTTGCCATGGCTCACCATACCGCGGATAAGCGGCACGTACGTGTTCTCCTCGATCACCATGCCCCGCTCTGCCATCTCAAGCGAGGGAAACAAAGTTTCAGAGATGCTCAAATATTGCACAACGACTGCACAAGCAAGATATAAATGGCGCTTTGTGCATGCACACAAAGGTAGGAGCACCAGCCATGAGCATGCCTCAGCCACATCGCCAAAGTCAGCACGAAAAAACGTAGCATCAGTCCACGGGGCACAGAGTGTACGTGATGGACGGCATGTGGAACGCGCCTGTTCTGCAATTTTTTACCACCTGCACATGACGCGCCGCATTGTCGAGCCTGCCTACATGTTGTCACAAATGACACGACGCACAATCTGTTTTGAAACTTCGATGGCAACATGACCGTGTAGACGAGACAGGACGTTCCGTGGTTAACTCAAAAACCCCGCTCTCACACCCTGCCTCGGATAAGTGCTACAACTTTACATCAGAGCGCATGAACAGCCTCTTAAACAACTACCACGCTACACGCTTAATCCCACGACTTGAAACCAAAACATGAAAGGCAGGACAGGCCACAAGTGAGCGTAATGCTGCAGAAGTGAAGGGTATGGCAAGGGTTTGTCACGCGCGAGCGACAAAGCCAAACGTCTATTGATGACGTACAACGCTGTTGGGAGCATAGCCAAACTCGTTCGACACTCATATCGACCTGGCCTTTCCATACATTGTGCAGTAGATCCTAGTCCCACAGACCACAACACCCCCCGGGCTGCGAGAACACCAGGGATGCAGCAACTTCAAGAAGCAGCAGCTAAGTTCACACGGAGAGTACCTCACCTTTCATCTCCATGACGACCCTCATGCAGTCCTCCATCAGGCCGGCCTTGGCGCACTGATTCAGGACACCCCGGAGCAGGTTGGCCCTAAGCGCAACTCCCATCTCCATGGCGGTATTGAATGACCGAAGCGCCTCCTCGGCGGAGTCGGCCTTCAGCGCTCTGACAGCCACCACCACCGCCACAACAGCAACGACCACCACAGGCGCATCGATGGACTAGTCAGTGCCATTCAAGGGGTCACCGGGTGGAGGCGACAGCGGCCGTCGCTGTGTAGATAACATACCGTGCACAAGCCAACCATTTCCGTGCACACCAGTGTCCAAGGGTCGAGTGAACTACTGTTGGCGTTGTAATCCGAAACCGAACCTCTACCCGGCATTGTGAGGTTTTATGCCGGGACCGCTCGTGCTACTTTTCACAACTACTACAATAACAACCACCAACATCATGAATAACGACACGCGACGACGGTCACACGATCGAGCGACTCACAGAGCGATCTCGTTCTGCAATTGCTTCTCTTCCGGCGTCTCCCTCTTCCTTTCCCGCGCCCTCCGCTTTCTGAGAGACAATCTAGCACAGCAGCCGGGGCAGCCACAACAGCAGCAGCAGTCGATTAACGCTTCACGTATGGAAGCAGGTCGGCCGTAACGCTAGCCGGCGGAGCAAGACCGCATCAGAACACACACGCACAACCAACCGTACTGATTATATACCACATGCTTTCCTGCACAAAAAACGGGTGTCGGTTAGTTCGAATACTCATGCTACTGAACGCCACGATGGAGACATCGTATCATCTCGGCGGTTTCAGGGCCGCAGCAGGACTGGCTTGTCGACAACAAAGATCGAGGCGATATTTTTCTATTCTGCGGAAGAACAGAGCGGGCACCCGCAGCTGGCGCTCGACGTCCGGTTCATCAATCGTCAGACCAACAAGTAGGGGCCGCAGCAGGACCAGCAGTGGCACCACCATCACCACAACCACCACCATAACCCACTGCAACAGCATCGGCATTGAGACGCGCGGCATGTCCTGTCCCAGGGGGGGGAGTCGCGACGACGATCGTTCTGATCTTACCAGGGGCTGTCAACGAGAAAATGAATTGTTCCCAAGCTTGTGAAACCCAGCGCTACTGCTGTGCTGCATCGAGAGCTCTGCAGTCCATGAAATTCCAACAGCATGAACAACAACAACAACAACAACAACAACAACAACAACGACAATTGGTAGTAACCTCTGAGACAACAAATCTCATGCTGCCACACTCACTTGTTGGGGTTCCCCTTGGACTTCTCCTCACCCACGGTGTCCCCACCTCCCACAACCCCCGGGTCACGGACTGCATTTGCCGCCCCCGCTCTCCCACCCGGGAACCCATTCCGGCCGCCGTGGTAGCCTGGTTCCTGATCAGCACCTCCCGCCCCCCGCTCCTCAGTGTTTCGCGAACGAAGACCTGCCGCCGCGGCGTCGCCCCTGCCGCGTTTATCAAAGCTGTCGTCTCTCCAGACCTGTTGCTGCTGTTGGTCGCTAGGATTGTTGCCATTGCCTCTGGCAGTGGAGGTCTGGCTCTGGCCTCTCTCTAGCAGTGACGCGATAGATTCTATGGAGATGGGTGCCGCTGATTGCGTTCGCGGTGCTACCGCCGCGCCCACGCTTCTTCCACTTGAAGAAGGGGATACGCCCTGAGGCGGCTGCACTTGTCTTCTTTGCTGCTGTTGCTGCTGTTGCATTCGGGGCTCTCGCTGTTGTTGTGGCTGCCGCTGTTGCCCCTGCTGTTGTGTTGCTCGCCGACGGTTGCTGTTGGGGCTATCTGCTCAAATTGTCGGGCGGTGTGAGTGGTCAGAGCGCTAAACTCGAAAAAGTTCGAAAAGAGAAAACGGAAACAGGGCACACCCGTGCGGCGCACAGCTGAGAGGGCTTTCCGGCCGAGCTTCGAGAGGCGAGTCGAGGGACTCGTGTCAACCAACTCGCCGCGCATGCACAGCGTGTACGGTTACGGTACACTCGAATTACACTGTTGTGCCACGACGACCCAGTCTACATTTAACAGCAGGCTCATGCGGCACTCTCAAGGCAAGAATGCGCCTCGGTTAAGCATTCTAAAAGGACCACAGCAGCCTGGAAGACTCTGCCGGCATCACAATAAAGTCTTGGGCCTTCAATAGGGCGGCTACGTGCCAAGTCTGATTAACTCGGCCTTTAGCGGGCACCCGCGCCGTTCGAGGTGAAGAACAGCTTGATGGATTCCATCTGTGACAAGAGATCCCACCAATTGCATGCCGGCCACCCGCCCTATAGGTGGGCCCGTGACTGCAGTCCTATCCCATTGGCTCACGCCTCACCCCTACTGGTTTACGACAGCAGGCATTCGGGTGGCACAAATAGCCCAATCTATTGTTGGTTCGACGATCACCAAGATCGTGTCTGAACCAAATCAGGCCTATGTATATCATGAACAACAGTGCTACCGCTGTTGGGTTGTTGGTCATGCTGGTCCGTCGTTGACTGCCGCCTCTCGCACCCAATAACCGACAGCATGCGACATGCACCAGACGAGCCACCAACCCCCAGCGAGTCTACGGATAAATACATCCCCGTAATTACCGGTTCGGCGGCAACACGGATTACTGTACTTGGTCATAAGGCACAAACAACGCTGCTCATGCATCCTTCCAAAGCATGCCGGGGGTGAACATGAGCACGGGGTCTGTCAGTACTCCTGTGCAGTTGAGGTATGAGATATGAGACAAGCCTATGAGCTGTTCCCTGCGCTCAAAGGCCGAGTTTCTCCATCCCCTGCCACGGCCGAGTACGATTTTCGTGCGGCAATGCACCGAATACGAACCAACCATTGTTTCGGTGCACCGCAACTGCTGCAGTTACAGTGTATTACACACGCAATACCACAGTTCGACTCAGCGGCAAAAACAATATCAGCGGCTACGCAAGGGCAACCCACCACTTTCTGCGGCGACGGTCTGCAGTCTTCGGCTTCGCCCCGACTCCGAACGTGACCTGTCGACTCCGCGGCCAGTACACCCGTGCCACTCGCGCCCGTGCTGCTGTGAAGATGGCATCGAAACGCCACGACGACTAGGGGCCCAACACGAGCGTGTTGTAACAGCACTTAAGCCGGTTGTGAAGCCAGAACAAAGCTCGGGCGACAACACAAGGAGCAGCAGCAGCAGCAGCGGCGGCGGCGTCACAGACCTTCCGCCTTCTCTCGCCGACTGCTGTGTTGCTCTGCTGCCATGAAGAGCTCCGCGCCTTCCTCGCTGCTTCCGTTCGCGAATGGCCGTCACGGCTTGACAGCCAGAGACACCCAGCTGGGGCCTCTGCTCCATGGGTTGTCCTGTCGAGCACGTGGCGTGTGTGGTGTGCCTGGCAGATGTGCGCTGCAGCCTTCTCATCAGCTCATGAAAAGGATGGGGGGCAATCACACGCAATTGACGTTGAACCAACGTTTGCACCTGCATGCCCTACTCTTTCACATTCTCCAGTGCGGAGCCCCTACGCGGCACTCGGGTGGGCGGCGTGCGTACTCCAGCACTGGCGACAGAGACTCGTGCTCCAGCGACGAAAACGCCTCCAGAACTCATACTACAGAACCTTTTTTTTGAAAGCGAGAGACGTGGGACGCTTCCTCTGACCGCCGTTGCTGCGTACCCAACGGAGCCGACAAACCTCCGCATGAGCGAAAGCATGGAGTCTTATACTGCTGCTGCCGTTACGAACGAGTCACATCATGTTGATGTGGGTGAGGACGTGGAGGGCGGGCTGGGCGGGCTGGGAGAAGTTGGCCCAGAAGTTGGTTCACCGTCACCTCTTTGTGGGTCTGGGTCTGGAGGAGGTGAAGTTGGCGCCGCTAGCTCGCCCGCGCCCGCGTCTGCTGCAGATGGGCCAGCTGCAAGTCCAAGGGGTGCGATCCTGCCGACGTCTCCAGGTACTTACAGGCGTGCCATCACTGCGTTCATCGACGTACATTTCCAACTTCCCATCTGTATCGGCACCAATACCGCCAGCGAAACAAGTCAAAGTCAAAGTTGTTGTTTGTTTGTTGTTTGTTCGTTGTTGTTGTTGTTGCTCTTGCTCACAAGATCGCTTATTTGTCCAAGTACTTTGGCCCCTCTAAACCAAGCTTCGTTGAAGCACACAACATTATCAACCTTGCTCATGCTTCTACTTGCATTTGTTTGTCGTGTCCAGAGGACCTGGCGACCCTTCAAGGGGAGGTAGAAAACCTCCTTTTCCCCAACCTCGAACAGGGGAGCCAACAACAGTTTGGGGAGGCAACAATCGAGAACGCCGTGGGGATGCTGAAGGCGAAGATTGGGCGCGGCTACCCGCTTCAAAGACACAACAAAACAAAGGTGAGGTTTGGACCCTCATGTTTGCTAAGGTTACCCTTCACTGGCGTGAAGAGTGGACTTGCTGCGTTGTTGATACTGTCGGCTGCACGTGGACTCGTCTTGTAGGGTCGTTCGCCATGAGACCAGATGCACAGCCTGAAGGATTGAAACATTGAACGTTCGTCGTGAACGTTCGGCAAGGGCTGACGTCCAATGTGGTTTTTCTGCACCCCCTTCAGTTGTACACCAGAAAGCAGGAGGCGGAGCACGGCAGGCGCAATAGATGGAACTACGTGGAAATCGTCTGTCCTCAGGCGGGGTCTCCGCGAGCACGAGAACGTGTCGCGAATGCGAGCGCTCGCCGCAATACTAGCTCAGAAAAGGTGCGTCAGGATTGAGTATTGGTAACGCTCCCCTGTTGAATGTTAGAAAAAGGCAGGAAAATCACGACAAAGAATATCTCCCTGTTGTATCTCGTGTCGGGGAACAAGAGGAGAGGTCATCTCCCTTTCCACGCGGACACATTTTTTTCTGCAGCACCTGCACGAAACCTCCGCTTCCCACGCTGCGCCCCCCTGTGTACGATACGGTGTGCAAATTCCAGATTGGATGCGCTTTCGAGGTCGGATTGTGGTGGGCGGCCAACAGCCCTGCGCCGATCGTTGCGAAGGTGAGGTCATTTGCCATCAGTAGAAGCGGGTAGAAGCGGGTAACTGACGACGACGCAGCAGTAGTCTCGCCATGAATACGGTGAATGGACGAGCTCGATGGGAGCCACAGCCTACAGGGATCCGCGTCCGTACACAAGGGCTGGTGTAAAAATTCTGTGCGCCAGTAGACTGTTTCTTAGTAGTACGTGGAGGTAGACTCGTGAGAAGAAAGCCTATCGGGTTTCCAGTGTCAGCCTAGTTCGACGGTGGTTAAGCCTAAACAACCCTAAACCCTAACCCTAACCCTAACCCTAACCCTCACCCCAACCCAACGCTTGGTTGCTGGGCGTTGGTTAAGTGCTAGGTCGCTGCAAGTGGTAAACCTAGACTGCTGGCGCACAGAATTTTTACACCAGCCCTGGTGTACGGACGCGGGAGCCAGCCTACAGCGCTACCTTCGCAGCCACCCGATATTGCCTGGGGGGTGACCGAATGCCACGCCCACTTATGTAACCACAGAATCGCAAGCTTGCTCTTGCCACTATTTTGCTTCTCTACCGCTGCTTCTCTTCCGCTGCTCAGGGAAAACTTTGCCTCACGCACCACACGAAGACTTCCGGCGGGAAGGAGCACGAGCGCCCGCGAGCTATCGAGAACGAGATGAGCGTAGCGGAGATTGAGGCGAAAAGAGATTTTCTCCGTGAGCTGCACGCTTCTCGCGTCAAGACGACGGAGATCCACAAGACTCTCGAGCGCGTCGGCAAGAGGCTAGGACAAGCAGGAAAGCAAAAGGTGAGTGGCTGAGGCCGTTGTTCGTGGAGGTCATTTGTCAACGCGAGCGAGGTTGGTCGTCCAAACGAGTACACCACAGGAAACATCTCGCTTGTGGCAGTGCCCTCGCAGCCAATCATGTTTCTGTTGCATGGTGGCGACCGTACTTTTGGAGCTTTGTTTTGCTCGTTCGGCTCATGTATCTCGAAGTTGATGTTCCCGAAGTGTTCACACCATGTTCACACCGTAACGAAGCCGCTTTCGGGTGGTGCATCTGTGGATTCACGGCACCTTCAGGTGCGGACTATGATGGCCCAGTTCGATGCCGAACGGCAGGCGGAGAACGGGGCGTTTAACGACGCCCAGCTGCTCGTTGGCCATCTCCAGAACACTGAGGCCTTCCTAAGGTTCAAGCACGAGGATGGCCGCATGACCTGCATCGCATGGGCGTCTCAGGACCAGAAGGTCTTGGCGATGCGATACCACAAGATCATCATACAGGACAACACGTTCAACACCAACGTGTAAGTGCAGTGTTGAGCACGCAGGAACGTCGTGAATTGCTTCTCTGGTGATGGTTGGCGATACTTCTCTGGTGATAATGGGCGATATGTTTTGACTTCGTTTACTTCGGTTAGCGGCGGTCACCACCACTGTCATACCGGGATGGATTCAGTGAGCAAATGTATCAAACATAGGCGCTCAAGTCACCCATCGAAACCCCCACACCACCCCCACGCCTGCCCCTGGAGAACTCAGTTTGGCCGGCAGTATACACCCATGGAGTGAAGTGTCGCTTGATGGTTTCCCCACGATGTCATAGCGCACCATCGTACATCCGTTTGCCGTGCTTCTATGGTGCCATCTGCCAACCAGGTACAAGTTCTTCCTGGCACTCATCGTCGTCGTGGACAAGGAGAATCACACCCAGATAGCCATGCAAGCCCTGCTTGCGAACGAGCGATCAGAATCCTTCGAGTTCATCTTCGAGTCGTTCAAGGAGCTCTGTGGCGGAGGAAGCCCAGGGGTAAGACGATGACCCAGACCCCTTCATCGGAAACGTAGCGATGCCACGGGAGAATCGTATACGACTCCCCCCAAACAAATGGTGGCGCTGACACAACGAGATGAGACGGCGATGGATGCTCAAGTGCATGTCCGCGCCACGCGTTCAACTGACCTCCTTCTGTTGTGGTTGCTCGCACGTTCAATCAGGTGGTCTTCACTGACTGCGACTCTGCCGCGATGTTGGCGATCGCGAACGTGTATCCGTCGGCCCTGAACAAGTTGTGCATCTGGCACACCATGGAGAACATCAGGGATCATGGACGGGGTCTTGCCGAGGGTGTCCTTCCGGCCGTACTCGGCAAGTTCAAGGCAGCAGCGTACGCTCAAACACAGGAGGTGAGATACACTCGACCCTGTTTCGTTTACTTCTAAAGATGGGATATTGTTTTAGGTGCACCGGTGAAAGTTAACCGCGACAATGGTCGTCTTACCTAGTTAGTGAGTAGACGAAGGAAGCGGTCCGCTCTCGTTTTTTCATTTCATTGAGCGTTGACGTAAACGTGTCCCCGCCCCCCCCCCCTTCATCTATGGTCTTCGCTCGCTTCACTTTGTCTTGCTCCCGCAGTATTTCCTACAGCTTCGAGGGGAGATCCTGGACATGTTGCCCCCGGAGAGCCACATGTACAAGTACATGGCCGTCAACATCTTTGGCGCAGAGTAAGCACCGTCTGGCATGATGGCAGCCGCTACGCTACGGAGAGTTGACGTTTTCCTCCGTGAGACCTCGGTCGGTTGATCATGTCATCCTCTTTCCGCCTCTCACACTCCCTTCGGCCCTCAACGTGCCTTGAACAGGCGGGCCGGCAAGTGGGCTTCGTATGTTCACCCTGGGCTGCACACGCTCGGCATTGCCTCCACGCAGCGAGTGGAGTCGATGAATGCGGCGGTAAAGGCAGTGGTGACGAGGAAGGGCAGTATGATGGACCTCAACGATGGGATCATGGCCAAGGTTCAGGACGGCATGGCGAAGACCGAAAGGTGCGACTCCGACACGACTCCGACAGTATTGTGGCGCGTTTCTGCGCCACTGTCTGAGGTACCACGTGACCGAAATGCCTCGACCTGTTGACGTCAACTTGTGTGGCGTCCATGTCTTTTGGTGAACTGCTCAGGAAGAAGGTGGTAGCTTGTTGCCGACATGAACATCTTGTAGCATTCGTTCTCAAGCGCTCTCGAAGGCCCGCCCGTCGACAGCAAAGCGCCAATAGTTTTCCCGAGGGTTTCGCGACGATTTTCCGTTGTTGCGTGCCGGTTGCATCGAATTTATGGAGGTCCCCCTGACGTGGTCGGATAGCGTCAGCAAAGAGTTTTCACTGCCTGAGCTTTTTTGCAACGCCACGGAGACAACTCAAGAGCATCTTTATTTTGTTTTGTTTTGTGGTTGAGATATTCCGTGCCCTGCTTGCTGCTGCGCCGTGCTTTGTAGGCGGAGCACTGGAGGGAAGGTCAACAAAGTGTCGATGCGGCAGGCGAAGTCGGCGATGTCGAGGGTAACAACCAGCCACGTTGACCAATTCCGTTTCATCCTGGATGCGTTGGCGCACGAGAAAAGCAGCACGCACGCCATGGAGGTCAGTTGTGGCGGTCATGGGTCATGCCGATGGATGGGCCCGTCTATTTGCTACCCCATCACACGACGCGTTCCCCCCCCTCACACGCCGTCAGACGGGGCGTCTTACGAATGAACGAGACTGCGGCGCGGTCATGAGTTGTGTCTTGTTGCCCTTCCCTCAGGCGCCAATGTGAAGTTCGCATGCCCGCTGCCTAACCGTACGGAAACGTCACAGGAAGCAAATTGCGTTGGGGTGGTGGAAGGCAATGAAGTTGTTGACGCCCCGAACGATGCTGGTGGATTCATTTCAATGCCACACGTAAAAGTTCCTCCCGCCCGTCGTACCTTGTTTGTCGCCCCTACCCGTGCTTATGTGCTACGAATGTCAGGACACTGAAGCGCAGATTGTCGCAGCTCTCACGTATCAGGACAGAACGGTCGTTAGTGATGCAGACGCGGCGCGGAGACTTCTCGACGACTTGGTGGCGGACCCGGCGCAAGCCAAGCTCGTTTACGACACCCGCTCTGGCGAGTTGGTGGACCCTTCTCATGAGACGCCCGATGCCTCTGGTATTACCATGGTGTCCCGCACGTCCGTGCCTCACTTCGCCGACTTACTCCGCGGTCAGAACGTCGACGCAGTGGTGCGCATCAGCAAGATCACTCCACCGTCCGAATTTGGTCACCTTGTGGCCGTCGGATCGGACGGCTTCTTCTTGTGCACATGCCTTCGGCAGCTGGTGTACGGGCTACTCTGCCCACACGTCATCAAGGCCTTGTGGTCCCAGAGGATCACGCGTTTCAACGGAGCAAGCATTGGACCATGGTGGCGTGACAGCAGTACGCCGTGGACGATGGAAGCTCTCGCCGCCAGGCCTGCCAGGCTATCGACCGGAGCTGCAGGGGCTCATGGACAGGTGCCGCCCCTCGTCGGCAACCCCGACGCCATCGGCTCACTCGACTCCGGCCCGAAGCTGTCAGCTTACGGGTACGCCAACGGACTCTCCTTAGGGAAGGAGTTGGGTGCCTTGTTCAAAGAGGTTGGGTCTGTGGCCGGCATCCACCGCGTGGTCGACACCGTCTTCAACTTCGCCAGGCAACAAGTGGAGGTCGAGAAGAGGTCGCTACGACAGGAGTCACGGGGCCGGGTGTTCACCGGAACTTTCTCACAGCCCACAACGGTTACGGGGCGGGGGGGCGCGAGTAGCCGGGGCGGTCGGGGGTCGACGGGGACAGGGAGGGGTGACAGGGGCGGAGGCAGAGGCAGAGGCAGGGGGGCGGGCAGAGGTGGTGGGGAATCGGTTGGTTTGGCCACGGGCACGTCGAGCCCTGTATCAGGGGTTCCCACTGTTCAAAATCCCGTTGCCGCCGGCGCAGTGCCTGCGCCTTCCGTCTTACAGACTCCCGCCAACGGGGCGCACACGTTCCAGGGCTTGGGCACGCCGCTTCGTTCCCTGAACAACGTCGACTTTGGTGGTGGCGGGCAGGCTCGGTCGCCTCCTCAGGAACCCGCCCATCTGATGCACATGGAGCACCTGCACCCGCCGCTCGCTCAAAAGCAGACGGGGCAGAGCAAGAGGCACAAAAGGGGCGGGTGCTAGGGCCAGACGCCCGAGAATACTACCGGAGTAGCTAGTATTGTAGCACGAATGGTTGAATCGGCGCGTGGCGTCCCTCCCTTTCGCGTGCGCGCTCCCGTGCTTTTGTTTGTGGTCTGCGTATAGCGTTGCTAGGGTCTTCATTGTACCGTCGGTACACGGTTCAACTAGGCAAAACACAGCCGGCTATTAGGGTGGCTAGCGGGGAGGGGGGATAGCAGCCTCAACTTCCCGTTCTTTTACGTCCTTCGCGCAGGTTATTGGTGCGTTGGAAAAGAGTACCTGTAGTACATGACCAACGCATGGGACTGCTGTTGTTGCGGTGTTGTTGCACCTTCGCCAGAGCACAATATATTATTTTCTGTGCTCGTTGAATGCTGTCCTTTATCTCTCGATCTGTCCTGCGTTGACCTGTCCTGCGTTGCGAGTGCCTGCATGTTTGTGTTGACCAGGAGTTCAAACGTGGACGGAACTATGCCCGAAGTGTTTTTTGTTTTCGACATGGTGCACACCATGAAGCGTTCTTGCCACCACGGCTCTGCTTTGTGTTCACCGGGAGCCCGGGAGTCAACGCGGTCGTCGTGGAATTACGAGGACCACAGCAGTGTGCTTTTTTTTCATGTAGTGCACACCGCAACGGCGCACTACGCCTCTCCATAATAAGGACAGCGGCCGTCTCTAACTTTGGTTCAACCTTGTTCTTTTCCCTTCAACCCCAAAAACCAAACGAAGGAAGCTAATGAGGGCTGCGGTGTTGCGCTATAACGAAATGCCGAACACTAAAACAGTATACAAGCGAGGAAAACAAACACAAAAACACTTGGTACAGATCACTTTTTCTTTTGTGTGTGTCGTGGCCTTCGTGCGTGGTAGCTAGCCTCGGCTGGATGGGGTCGTAGTAGCAGCAGTAGTTTTGTTGCAGCAGAAAGACTTGACGCGTGTAACGCACGTCGTACTTAAAAAGTTCGAAGTGCTGCTCTCCTGAAGATGGGGCAGAGCAGTGTAACAACAACCGCAGTTGTACAAGCACATGAACAGAACTAATCTACACGTACGTCCAGATAGATCAGGACCACACCAAATGGTTAGCTGGGCACAGGTTGCAGCAACGGCGGTCAGAGGAAGCGTCCCACGTCTCTGTGCTGCTGTTGTGCTGGTTCTGCTGTTGTGCTGGTTCTCGCTTTCAAAAAAAAGATTCTGTAGTATGAGTTCTGGAGGCGTTTTCGTCGCTGGAGCACGAGTCTCTGTCGCCAGTGCTGGAGTACGCACGCCGTCGGGCACTCGGGGGCATCGCGTGCTGCCTGCCTATCCGCAACAGAACACGAGAGAGGGGCACGAGCATCGACCATGGTGGCGATCCCGGTGCTGAAGCTCTTTTCTATGACGGTGAAGACCCTAGCGAAACCAATGGCCAGGAAGATCAGAACGGGTGAGGTTGAGACATGCATTTCGCACGTGACAGGTGATAGAAACCTTGTACGTACTGCAGTCGCGGTTGTGCCCGCGGTGTAGGATTCCCTTCATACACTGTCAGTGCCATCTTCGACATGCATTTGTATTGTAGCCGTGAAATGCATGGCGCACGTGTATGAGCGATCATCTCGGCGTCGGACTTGCGCTAATTTTTGTCGTTCTTTGCCAACCAAGGATCATTGCGCCGCTCCGGAGGCAGGGGGTTCTGCACGTGTTCAGCAGTCCGCACCCATGTCTACACGTCGTGCCTGATGTTGTACCTCAATGCAAAGCTCGTTGATGCTGCGGCCATGCACTTGTATTGTAACCATTGGTAGGCATGTAGCTTCACTTCTGTAGTGCAGTACCGCCGTCGGAGAACGCAAGGTAGGCAAGACCCGACCATCCGACCTGTGGAACTTGCGAATGACCGACTCGATTCCAGCCCTTCCAGGTCGGTGCATGCGCGCAGACCGCGTCTGTGTTACTCTTCGCGTGCCTCCTAGCATAATCCAATTGTGTTCCAGGCAACATGCGTTTGTGGTGAATTTAATGAACTTGGTTTGCGTTGTAAAGTTCGTCCTCGTTTCGCATCTGTGTGTGATGTGTATTGTTTGTTTCTCCGGCTTTCAACGTGCAGACTATGCATCTGGACAGCCGGCCGCAGTCTCAAGATTTGCATCTTTGAGTTGGCATCTTGTTTGCAATGTAATGACACGTGCATATGGTGTGCGTTTCGATATGGCTGGCTCCAACTTGTTCAACACCACTCTTTTTGTTTCCTTTCCCACTCAGAGGCCCAAAGGCATCCTAGATTCCGAGGCGTGCTCAACAGCATGGGTCAAGCCACCAACAGAATTTCCGCCAGAATATCCATCCGACTGGCGGGCCACACCACAACCAAGGTCAGAAGAACCAAGTCCTTCTCCTATGACTTGCATCAGCGATAACCATGTTTTGGAGTATGTATATAACTGCTAAAGCAGTGCTTGCACTTGCTGCTTTGACCTGGCTCAGATTTTTTTTTATTTATTGTTCTAGGTGCGCTATACTGGTTTCAGAGGCTCTCCTGGAATCGTGAAGTCAGAGAGGCGTGTACTGTTTCTTGTAGAACAATTGGCATTCTAATTGCGTCCTGACAAAAATGTCTCGATTTCGAAGAGGTGCGTGTTTCAACCCTCTGAAACCCAGGTTCCATTCTATTGTGATGGAGTAGATTATTGTAGCCTGATTTACCTTCACGCATTCGTCTTCGAGTTGTACACTTTAGATCAAGCCTTTAGAGGAGGACAAAGCAATTGCGGACGGGGGAAACATGCTGGCTGAGGGCTTCATCTACGGGCTTGGCACCTCCTTGAGTGAGTCAAGAATAATTTGTCTGTGTGTGCGGGAGCCACAAGGTTTCCTTCAACGTGTCCACCGACGGGCATATTCTTCAGGCTGCATTTTTCGTGGGGCATGGAGCGTTTCTCATGATCTACGCTTGCTCCTGAGTCGACGGAAGATAATACGCTCCTCTAGTGATTTCCCACCAAGTATGCGTTTCCTACCAAGGAAGGAACAGTTGGTGGATTCGATAAGTTTTCATGTTTCAAGTCTATTTATACGTGCTCTTGTGTTGCAAGGAGTCTGTTTAAGTCCGCGCATGTCACGGATGTACCGGTATGGATGAACTGTGGATCCAGTGGCAATTGTGTAGGAACTTCAAGCCTCAGGTGAAGCGGAGGGGTGACTCAATTCATACAGGTGTGCCACTGTTTGATACCCTTCATTTCTTTAATCCGCCGCTATTGTTATATTTGGTGACACCTACGTCCTGCTCTCCATCCACACTGCACCATTTGACACACTCCATCGGCGACCGGGATGGGAACTTCGACGTGATCGCCACCGCCGACATCGCCAGTGGTGTTCGAGTACATGTCTAACGCCAAGGACAAGGAGGCGAAGGAAGCGATATCCAAGCTGAAGAAGGAAGAGGAGAAGCGAGAGATTGCCCAAGCTCTAGAGGTTTGGGCTTGATACCAGCTGACATGCGGGCTTGCGAGTTTTGACGATTTTGCCGGTGCCGTGTTCTCTTTTGCGTGTGGATGGTAATTATGCCAACGACACCAGCCTTGCTGCTGCACCGTTCGGGTCTCTACGAGAAACACGTATCTCGGGTGTGCAAACTGCGTTGCTGGCAACTTCATAGTGACGACCTTCGGGTTGAGGTCAACAGAAAGGAGATGGAAGCTATCATTACGAGACGAAGCGCCGCGCGTTTGGATGACCACATTTGCTGCGCACCCGGAGTGCTCTCGGAGTCGTTTGTAACTCACTGTTCCTTATTTGTGGTTGGTGACATTGAAGCTTGTCGTTGGTGCTTCTGATCCCTGATCGCTGGTGCCTCGCCTCCGTCTGAACAGGATATCAACCGACGACTCGCCCGGCTAGAGGCTTTGGACCGAACAGGCAATAGAACGCACGAAGTAGATGATGGTGCAGACCAAAGAAAGTGGCCGCTGGGGCTTGCTTTTCAAGCACCGTCGCGAAAAACCTGTGTGGGTGACTCAACGCCCAGAGAAAGTAGACACCCTCCTGACCAAGGTGGAGGGGACGCTTCCACGGTAGGGGGCGGGGCTGGCAGCAGGAATGAGCATCAAGGTTCCCGGAGTGGCGGTAGCGGCATGCGTGGCAGCGGCGGCGACACTGACGAGGCAAACGGAGAGCGCAATGACTACCTATGGCGGCAAGAGGACGAGGAAGATGGCGAGGGTGAACGAGGAACTCGCGGTGTTAGCCCTTGGGAGATGCTGCTGCCGACGTTCTAGATATCCACGGCGTGAAGTCGGTGCCGATGGAATAACCGACGCCTTTGCTGTTCTGACGAGTAATGATTGTTCTTGCCTGATACAACGCTGCTTTCCCTACTCTTCCAGGGGCATGTGTTGTGAGGGCATTCACAGCCAGTCGTCGCTGCTGCGAGCGCACTCGGAACACACCCGTGTATTTCTCAATGATTTCAATGCGTGGGCTTAGAAAAACAGGTGTAGGCCGGATGCATGATCTGCCCTTCCTAGGACTCACACCGGAGCATCCGTAACGAAGGGAAGACGCGGATTGATATCCAACGCTTTGTGACGTTCGCATCTTCAAGAGTGCCCATCATTTTTCCGTGTAATGAACGCAATACTTGCACTAAAATACCAAGCCCGGCGGAAGAACTTGTACGAAGCCTGAGTGTCGTGATCGTTGTAGAGGTGCCCGTCCTCGCGAAAAATACACACACTTGCGCGGAGCGACATTCACCGCAGCTTGACCGTGTTGCTTGACAACGCGGTCGCCGAGTGCTGTCCGAGCAACACCAAAAGACGCATCGAAATTCCACCCAACAAGTGCCAGCGAAACATCAAAATACCATCCAACAAGCCCGTGGCTGCGCAATGGCAAAGCTCTTCTACACATGTGGACCCTACTCCCCCAACTCTAAAAAAATGCCGTGCACATGCCGCTGTAAGAACACCCGCCTCTCCGTCTACACGCGTCTATCAATTCATACGGGCGAGAGATCATCACCCGCAACCCTTACCGTCTACCCAGGTACAACTCCCTTGTGGAATGTCTACTTGCTATCAAAGTTACCCCCCTCCCTCGTCAAACTTGCCGATGGGCTAGTTTACTTTCCAATAATGCTGGAACACCCCGTCCCAGTTCCCTACTTGCTCTACTTCCTTTTGTCCTCGGCGTTGTTCTTGGAAACCCACGCATTACCAGGCGGGACTGAACATTAAGCTACACATTGCCGAAGACGCAAGTTCAGAAAGGATATCCATGACCTCAGCCTTAAGAGTGGCGTCTCCAACGGCATCAAGAACCGTCCGAAGAGCGATGTCGGTAACACTTCATGAACGTGTCAAGAGAGTAATCCACCAAGCTGGTGGCGGCACCAATGCTTCACTCCGAACACCCGGGCTGGAAACGACGACAAAACGGGGGG